TTTGAAAAAGTGCCATTTTTGTAAAGATTTCAAAAGTGTGGCATTTTTGTAAAATGGCACTTGAAAAGTGGCATTTTTTGAAATTTCTCTAAAAATAATTGTCAAAAGAGTAAAATGTGGCATGGTGAAGCATATATGAATTTAAGATTTACTAGATTGGTTTTCATTTCATAGGGTGATTTCCATATAATTTTCAAATTATAGTTTGCTATTAGCTCATAAGGTTATCCACATAGGATTTAAATCAACCAACTATAATATGCCATCTCATTAATTAAATTTTATAAATTTTAATAATTCGATAAAAAACAATATATGGAAGCAATATAATTGGATTTTTTTAATTGGAAAACACTAAATAATCAATCATTATAATTTGTTAATATTCCATTTTTAATGTTTACTCACATGAAATTATTAAGATGTATGAATAAAAAAAGTTGATCGTTATTAATTGGTAATAGTTTCACTTCTCTTTTTTTTTGTCGACAATTGGTTATAGTTTCACTTAGTTGTTAATATTCCATTTTATATAGGTAAGTCTATTCGATTTCTTTGTCCTTTCAAAGAATATGAGACACAAATTCAATTCATTATGAGACACAAGAATTAAGTTATTTTTTAAAATTAACACTAGAATAAAAATTTAACCTTTGAAATAAGGTAAGAAGAGAAGCTAGAGGAAAAACATAAAAAGGGCATTATCACTAATTCAAGATAAAAAAAAAATATAGAATCATAATGTTAGAAAGCAATGACGAAATGGTAATTTCAGACATAAACAATTAGAATATATTTTTGTTTTATTCAACTATAATCTAAGCATTCATTCGCAAGCGAATATGCTGCTTTGAGAAAAAAGTTAAAGATCGATGTAATCTACAAAATCAAAATTTTCTTGGCTGCTGACAAAAATAAGAACTACAGGGTATCATCGCACAAGTTTATACTCAAATTCACCCAACAAACAAAGATGGATGAAGTTACCGTGGCTGGTCACTCCACTGAAAGGCAATAGTTTAGAATCCGCTCTTTTCCCGAGTTTAAAAAACGAGTCCACTTGAACGAAGATCTATATTGTCAATATTTCTTTACTCGATATTTAAATTTTAATTATAGCATCACCATGTGTTAACTCTACTCATGTTTCATCTAGATGCCGGTAAACTGCTCCTCATCAACTACAAGAACTTCACCTATCCAGTTCTAACAAATAAAGCTCTTGATGTATCCAAAGGTGTGATTATAGGCAAAATAGTGATTCACCTGCAACTAAGAGAGTAAAGATATTTCTCCTATACTCTTATATCTTACCCACAAATTTTACAAAAAGAAAACTGATAAAAAATGTTGTCAAGCATGTTGTGCTCATTATTACAGTCAACCCTAGAACATTTAGAAATGGTTTGTGATTTCAAACCTATAATTACTACCACTTCTCTGTAATTACTTTCACCCATTTTTTTTTATCGAGTACCATGTAATTTTTTTCCAATATTGTGAGAAGCAGGTAAGAAATTTGCTATGGTCACCGACTTCACCTCATAAGTTATGAAAATAAACAAAGAATTTGAAGAGGGCGGCCAACTATTTTTTTAGAACTTTTAACAAGATTTATGGGAACAACTACAAT